ATTAAGGATGTGGCTGGTGGAATTTTTGAAAAGTAGTGTAAATAAATACATCAAGATATGATCATTTGGAGGTTGTTTCTCATACCTGATCTTTCCCCTCCTTTTGTGTTATTTATTTTTCTCTGTTTTGCAGCCCTGTGCTGGTGCAGAGACCTGGGCTCTGGCTGCTGGGTCCCTTGTTGGTGTTCAGAGAGATGCTGTACCTGCCCTGGGTGGGGGTTTCACCACCCTACAGCACTCTGGTGATCTTTTTTTCCTTGCTTTCTGTGGAGGAGTCTGTTGACAATGAACTATTTTCCACCTGAAAAATGGAAGCAGTTTTGCTGTTCATCTTCCCCGCTGGAGGTTTTGCTGCAGCAGCTCTGGAGAGCTTGAGGAGCCCACTGCTCTCACACCACAGAGTCAGGGAAAGGCATGTGGGCTTGAAGAGCCTTTTGAGAGGCTCTTGAACCTGAACTTGGCTGCTTCTGTTGTGAATGAAAGCGAAGAGCAAATCACCCCTAACCAAGCTCATGTTGCAGTAAAGGGAATTTAAATCCTGAGCATTTTTGCTTCAAGGCCATACAGACACCTCCATTTGGTCACTGACTTGTATTTTTATTCCAGCACCATTGTAGGAATGTAAATGAGGACCAACAAGGAACAAAATGGCTTCTATTCCTAAGTAGATGCTTAAGTTAAGGCCATCAGATGAAAGTTTTAATTATCATTAAGGTAATTGAATACTAACATGTTTTCCTTTGTTTCAGGCTGTAATTATCTCATTTTACACCTTCATGGTCACTGCTTGTTTTCATGGGGAGATTTTTGCAGTCCCTCACACTGATTTTAAAAACTTCTGAAATTACTAGTACCATAATTAGGAGTGAAATTAGGAACAGTTCTCCCTAATAATTGCAGATATGATGAGTAACTGAAATTTATATTGGCTTTTTATCACCACGAGTTTTACAAAAAGCAAACAAACAAAAAACACGTCAGCATCCCCACTCTTGTTTTTCACCCAGCCTGTCCCCTCCCCTCCTGGTTCCTGTGACCACACAAAGGCAAAGGTGTGGGCTGAGCACGTCTGTCTGTCTGTCTGTCAGCTTTTGCTGCATCTCTCCAGTGCAACACGGGGATGAACCACACTGGATCTCATCCCCTTATCCCTCCTCCTCCTCTGTGCCACATCCTCAAGCACAGCAGCTCACAAGGGTGTGAAAACTGAGCTGGCAGAGGACCCAGGGGATGGGAACCCACAACACTGAGTGTTGTGAAGCTACGAGGAGCCAACACAGAAAAGTTTGGCTCCAAATCCTCCTCCCAAGTGCGTCTGCTGGACAAAGGTCCATTGCAACCTCTCTTACCTCAAGATACTGCAGAAGTACTTTAAGAATTAAAAAATATTATGTTTTAAAAAATATATCTGGGGGAGTTGCAGGTTTGCTTTTTAGACACAATTGTCTAAAACTCCAGATGTTTCATGTTTAAATCACTTACCATGAACTCAGAGGTCTGATGTTCCACTAAGGCCAATCCCAAAGTTTAGAGGCTTAGGAACATCTAATAGATCATCCCTATGTTGTCACTCTGTCCTTTCAGTGATGATTCAGATTTTAAATTTCTCATTTTTATAATTTGTCTTTCAATGTGTTTTTCATTAATGTTAAGGTAAAAATAAACCCCAGAAAGTTATTAAGTGTATGAATGTATCATTAATACAAGTGTTGAATGATTGCATAAGATAAGAGTGTTCTTTCTCCTCCCTTGCATTCCCATGGAATAAGAAACTGTAATATTCTTGAAAACCCTCCTTTGAAATGTTGCTTCACAACCATTGACTAGAAAGATCAGAACATTTCCTGAAATAATGTGGTTTGCATAAGGTCACAGTAGAGATCAGAGGGAAGAATTGCACCATGTCCCACTTAAAATATGTCTTTTAACCACTGAATTTGCTCTTCTGTAATTTTGACTATCCCTCCCAAATGAGCATAATCAAGATACCTCCACATATGTTATTGTGTGTGTATCTGTTTTTATATACATATCCATATATATAGCATATGCAAAGATTTTGGTCGTACCACATGCAACTGCAAAAGCAAAGTTACTTCAGAAAATGAACCAGTAACAAAATGCTGTAATTTTTCTTAGAGCGACAATGAAATGTGAATAAAGATTAGATTTATAAAAACAAAAATTAATCTGGAAAACTCTTCTGCAGTAAGAAGAACTGCTGTTCTTTATCACAGTGGTCAGACAGTCACCTGCAATGGAGCAGCTGTCCCTGACCACCACTGAGTTCTGTGTGCCCACCTCTCTGTACTCCTCTCATAATTGCTATCTTAAAGTTATAGGAAGGTAAATAAAATAAAGGGAATATCAGAATATCAGTTGTAACAGAGCACTGGAAACCAAAGAGCCACAATGTGTTGTCTGGCTGATGGTGCATCCAAAGTTCATCTGGAAGTTGAAAGGGGCTGCAGGAAGATATCAAATGCTCCTGAGAGATAACAATGTAAATCAGGATTTGTGGTAATTAAGGTATGTGTGGTGAAAACAGAGGCAGATCCCTGTTTAGATTAGTGAGTTGTGCCAGACATGATTGGTGCTGAAACTTCAAGAATTGATTGCCAAATTTGTTGTTATTCCCATTCCAGGCAGAGAGTTTGGAGAAGGAGAAGACTCATTAGCAGCAACTCTCTCAACACGTACCAATGTAATGATTAGTAAAACACCTGAAACATGCTGGGAGGCCCTCTGGAGAACTGGCTGCTTACATGGCCCTATAATTTTCTTTTACATTTTGTCTTTTACCTCCTGGTGTCCTAAAATTATATTTTCCACCTTCTTTTGCCCTAACCCCTGATTTCGGAGACTAAACTGAAACACATGACACATCCTTCAGTTCTCAGGGTCAGTAGGAATATTCACTTGCTGAGAGTTAATCACACACCAAAAAAACATTTTGAATGGCCATTTTAACCCTGCAACACCATGCCACGTACCAAAGAAAAATGCACTGGCAAGGATCAGTGTTATTCCCAGTGTTGTCTCCTCAGCTCTGTTTATGACACGAAACTTTGCTTTTAATTTATCATAGTTCCCTCCTGAAGTCTGGTGTTGTCAGGTAAAGCCAAACAGAACAGATGTTGTTATGACGATGCTTATTAACATTATTATTGATGTTTATAAATTAAATCCTGTTTAGGGGAGCAGTCACCCGACTGTTTTAGGTCCGTGGAACTGACAGGACCACTGATGTCCCCAAGCTTGATTAAAGGCTGTTTTAAATAGGAATGAACCTGAACATATGTTTAATTGCTTCACTAGAAGTATGGAAAGTCTCATTCTCTTCATGGGACAAATCTTTGTTCCTTCCAGCCAGACCATGCAAGCATAAATCATTCTGAACAGCCAAAGAATCCTCTGCCTGCAAAAATTCCCAGATTGATCAAACTTAACACCTAATTACAGAGCTGGTGAACTTACACTGAAGGTGGTTTGAAAGGCTGCCTGGAACATCATGGGTTGAGATGCCTTTTGTTGGGAGCATTGTGCTGTGATGTGTAACGTGGGTAGATTCCTGTGGGATGTTGACAGTTTGTGGGAAATGCATGTAGGAGGAACTGGGTTATGAAGACCAGGAGGTTTAAATTTTTTTTTTTTTTTTTTACTCTCTTTCTCTCTCTCTCATTGTACTGCGTGTGGGCATGGAGATTTTTGGGGTTTGGTTTGTGTTGTTGGCTTTTTAAGGTATGAGGAAGGAAGAGGTTTTGGTTTTGGAAAAATCTGGCCACTACGTGCAGTGTGTCATGAGCCACTAGTTCCTGAAGGTTCGATACTGCACTGGTCCTACCTTCCCAAAAGGATGCTAGTTGATGATCCTGAAAGCTCTAATGTTCTGTTTTTTGGTTATGGCATTTATACTGAGTGCTAATAATTTGTTAAACTATGGATTTCTGTAATAAATTAATTAGCTCTGCAATGTTTTCTCCACTCTCTGCCTGCCAGTCTGCTGGGACTTGTTAGTTTTTTCCTAGTTACAAATAGCTCTCCGTATTATTATTTGCTTTTAAATAATTTGTCAGGCTAATATTTTTTTCCCTTTCACAGCAGAAGTCGATTTTCTCCTGTGTGTTATCCCAGCCTGAGGCACAGGGCAGGCATGATTTGGGTCTGCACTGGCAGTGAGGTTTCCACACACAAACATCCAGAGTTTAAAGTTCATTGGCTTGCAGCAATGCAATGATAGGGCCAGAAGCTTTGCTATTGGAAAAGGATGAATTTTGCCTTCATGAACAACTTAGGGCTAGTATCAACAGGGCATGAGATATCCAAAGTCTTAATGCCATTAGTTGTAGAAAAAACATTTCCATGGCACCCTCCCTCCCAGGCTTTCTGTTCCCCCTCCTGAATGGATGCTGGAATTGGTATGATATCAGAGCAGGATATGCTTAATCTAGAGATGGTGTTTACAACTTCTTGAAAAATATTTCTTGAGCCTCATTAATTTGCATATTCTAGTTTTCTTCATATGCATTAATTCCATTTTAATTTTGCTAGAACAAAGCATTTCAGAGAATAGTTTTGTATTGGTGTTGTGACAAAAAATACAGCCTTTTATCACTCCTTATGGATTTTTATTACGTAAGGTTTCCACCTTTTTGAATGAGAGAAACATTGAATAGGAGAACAGGATATTTCATTTGTATTAAACTCATCATATTGAAACCTCTAATATATTTCTTCTTATTTTGTCTTTAAATTAAATGGACCTAATCCTTTTTATCTTTTCACGTTGAAAATCCTTTATTCCTCTATTTATTTTAATTATTTTTATCTGAATCCCCTCTGCTGTTGTATTATCTCCTCCAAAAGCACTGACCAAAACTGAACACAGTGTCCCTGTTGGCAGTGCATTATTCATTTACCTATCACATTATGCTGTTTATAATGTTTTCCACCCTGTCTTACACCTCATAATACACAATTTGTCATTATTTTTCCCACAGATTCCACACTCTACAGAAGCTTTCCTGCAGAGCTGTCGTCAGGAGTGAACCAAGCCTTTTCCAGAGCGTAGCAGTTTAAAAGTCAATAAAGTGCCCTTGACTTTCCGAATTCTTCTTACTAATTGTCGATGCTTCTCACTTATCAGCATGTACTAGGCTGCCATTCACCTGGCATTGTTAGGGTTGTCACCATGTTTTTCTCCAATTTTATTCAAGAATGTGTTCAATTCTGGGCTCCTCACAACAATAAATACTTTGAGGCTCTGGAGAGTGTCCAGAGAGGGGCAATAGAGCTGGGGAAGGGGATGGTGCACAGATATTATGATCAGCAGCTGAGGCAGCTGGGGGAGTTTAGCCTGGATAAAAGGAGGCTCAGGTGGGATCTTATCACTCTCTAAAACTCCCTGACAGGAGGTTTTGGGTAAATAGGTATTGGTCTCTTCTCCCAGGAAAAGAAATATAGGACAAGTGAAGAAAGCCTCCCTCAACGGGAGGTTTAGATTGGGTATTAGGAAATATGTCTTCACAGGAACAACTGTCAAGCATTGAAATACACTGTCCAGAGAAGTGGTGGAGTCACCAGCCATGAAGGTATTTAAAAGACCAAAAATTGGTCTTCTATATAATCTATTAATTATTATACATGAAAGTGGAAGCATGGCACTGGGGGACATGGTGGTAGATCTGGAAGTGCTGCGTTAACAGCTGAAGCTGATTCCTTTTCCAACCCAAACTCTATGACTCTGCACGTGTGTGTTCTGCAGATGCTCCCACACGAGCACACATCCCTTTCTCAGGTTCATTTCCACCAGCAGCCCTGCTAGAAGACACGAGACACCCCAGCTCACTTTCTGCCAGGCCATTGGGGTTCTTTGCTCTTTCTCTTCCCCTGACACCTCTGTGCCGTGCTCCAGCTGTTGGCGCACAGCTGGCACGGGGCTCCTGCAGACACACCTGAGCTCCTCTGCTCTGGCTGGCCCAGGTGGAGCTGGAGCAGTGTGGGAGGCTGAGAGCCTCCCTGAGGTAGCTGTGATGATCTCTGTGCTGATACACCTCCCCTCCTGCAGCACAGGAGCTACGCTGGCAAAAATTGACTCACGTCAAACTCCTCTGCCTCCAGCTGCACCTCTGAGTTCAGCTGGTGCATGGCCTGCATATTTCAGCCATGAGCAGGGTTTCTCCAGCATCCTGGGCTGCCACGTGCTGAACAGCCCTTTAGGGGGAAAATGCACTTTATCAGAGGCTTTTGGATAGTTCTATTGCATAATATCCACTGAGGTAACTCCAGTGATTCTAGATTCTTTCAGGACTCCATCAAGCAAAACTCATCATCTTTTGCTTAATAGTAAGTTACCATCAGTGGGATATTTCCTGTGCTCACATGCAAAAAAGCATGCTCCTATGTTAAACTCAGTGACATCTTTCTGTTGGCTGAAGAAACAAGCTGTTTTATGGGACGCAGTCTTCAGATTTTATTTCTAAAAAGTTCATTTCTTTAGCCTACAGAGCAGGTTCTGTGGTGCTGTGCCTGAAAGGCTTCTCACTGATAGCGGGAAATGTTGGCTGCACTACCTTTCTAAACTCTGGCCAAAAGAGCATTCAGATTAAGCAATAATTTAAGCAACATCATCATGAGTGGGGAGAGCACATGGCCAGTTAGTCACCAGAGGTACAGACGCAGGCAGAAAGTAAATCCCCAACCTGTTATAGTAATGCTCTTAGTTACTGGAAATGCAATATGAGCCTACTTTCATGAGCAAGGATGAAAGAACTTGTTTAACCTTTGTACAGCATTTTCCACCCACACACGGGAGTGACATCAGATGCTTTGTATAGGTAAAAAAACAAGTCAGCATTTGGGAGACTCCCGAACAAGAGACAAAGATAACCCTTTACCTCTGAGTTTGTGCATTTAACACACTTGTGGTGGGTCACTTGAAACTTCTTGCTGCTTTTTCCTGGATCCTGATGACTCTGACAGAAAAAAAAAAGAAAAAAAAAAAAGAAAAAAAAAAATCAGCTCTGTGTGTAACACACTGGATGTGAAAGCACTTACTGGAAGGTATTTTGTGTTTGTGCATGCAGAATAAAGTTGGGTTTTTGCATTTAAATTGGGTGATATTTTAATTTTTAATATCCTAAAGAAGGATTTTTAGGAGGCCAGTCATTAGCTGGCCTTTAAGTAAGATCACAAAGCCTGGGAATGGGAGTTTGAGTGAGCATCACTGAGCCAGGTAAGCAGGGCTGGAAATGTCTGGCTCTGTGCAGCACCTGGGTGGATTTCAGTTCACTCAGTGCCACCTGAAAAGCCCTGCAGGATTTCTGAAATTCAAGATGTCCTGAGCAACTCCACACTAACCTTTGTGTTGCTTTCAAACTATGTTGGGGCTTAGTTCCTGTGTGTCCCAACATGCAACAAGAAAGAATTTGGTTTTAATTGATGGTTTTGATTTTTGAAACAATCTGATTCCTCTTTCCTCCCTCCTGCTCACTTCCCACCCCTCAAAAATGCTTGATAAATAAACTTTGAAGTCCTGGGAGAAGTAGCATGTGTTAGTGAAGGGAGAAGGTGGGGGTGGCAGGGGTGGTGGAAGGAGCTCAGTTTGTCAACACAACAGCCAGGAAGAAAGTTATTTATAAGGCTTGTGGTGGAGAGGGGGCCAGCCCACATGTTTTTAAAAAAGGGCTTAGCTAATCACATGGTACAGCTATTTCTGATATTTGTAAATACATTTCACTCTCCCTTGGTGGATGAAAGGAGAGCTAAAAGAGGATCACAGCTCAGGACATGACAAGTCCATCTCTACACCCAAGATCTGCCTGTGTAGGTGCTCCTATTTCTCTGGACTGCAGTGACAATCCTGAAAAAGACTTTGCTGTCCCCAGGCAAAGCATGAATGGAGGTGCACGGGAACTGATGCTTCCTTGGAATTAAAAAATCCTAAATAATGGCTCTGTGAATGCTCAGCCTAAATTCTGAATGCATTCTTAAACCACAGAATGCCTCATTTTCAGCAGGGTTTCATGACTCTCTCAAGGTGGAAGTTGACTGTGAGAGGCATATGACCATGAGACTATACTTGGCTAGACAGATATCAAAAGTGAATTTTTGACACACAAGGATTTTTAAATCACTGATTCAGTAAAATTATATATTTATTTTTTTTCTGTGTGGAGAATATAGTGAGCCATTCTTGTGGGTACAAAGTCACTCAAAGTCCCATGATGGAGGCATGACATGGACTTGACGTTGCTGCTACATTCCTCATTTCAGCAGCCATGGGAAGGAAGGCTGTATCCTCCTCAGCTAAAAAAGGCCAAAAATAATAGCTTTATCTCCAGAGGGATAGTCTGCAATTTAGTGCTTGGCCGGGCAAACTCACATCACATGTGTATGTCTCTCTCTCTCTCTCTCTCTCTCTCTCTCTCTCTCTCTATATATATATATATATATATATATATTTATATGTACATATATATATTTCTATACATAATGCATAGACAGAAATATACATATATGTATATAAACAACAGTATTAAACTCTTCAATACAGTTATACTTAATTTCACTTTCTTACACTAAAAAAACAAATCACACAAGTCCATTTCCCTTTTTTCCTTAAAGAGCAGTAAAAGACTTAAACATGTGACATAGCAGATATGCAAGTGTTTGTACTTTTTTTTTATACTTGGAAAAGTATATTATAAACAGATATATGTTTAATAATAATAATAATAATAATAATAATAATAATAATAATAATAGTAGTAGTAGTAATAGTAGTAGTAGTAGCAGTAGTAGTAGTAATAGTAGTAGTTAGGTGTGCCTTGTTAAAGTAAAGGAAAGCAGAGAGAAGCTGCAATAGGTATTGCTGTAAAAACCCCCCTGAGTTATGGCCATTTACTGTTTAGAAAACTAAAATCACGTCAGGGCATGCCCTGCCCTTCATCCTCTGGATGTGATCCCAGTGGGACCCTGCAGAGCTCTGGAAGTGCAGCAGAGCTCCAGCTGGGGACGTGCCATCACCATCAGGAACTCACAGTCAGCGTGGAATGAAATTTCTGGGTGAAATTCTGGCCCTGTTGACCTTGGCAGGTGTTTTGCAATTCGATGAAATGGAAAGAGAATTTAATCCTCTTTGTCTAGAAGAAAAGAGAAGAGAGAAGTTGTGAATCAAAATTTATACCCAGGTACAAAACTGAGGGAATTTTATACTTTTGGGTATCAGGGGATCTGCTCTTGGTCTGGAAGGTCACTGGATGAATCAGGAAATGAAGCAATAGAAAAATATTCAGTGTCATATTCACTGTGTTCCAAAGAGGTAGGAAATTAGCATCAGTTATAATTTAAATGTACCTTGCTGACAAGATTTACCAGAAGTTTCCCACACCTGATAATGAGAATATGTGACAACTTTTACTCTCCCTAAAACAAAATAAGGCATCCAAGAGCAAACTTGGAAAGCTAAAGCTACATTTTGAAAACAAAAAGCTTTAAGAGAAACAAACATCTGGAAAAGATCTTTAAAAGGACATTTTGGTACCCTAAAATGCAGGGCACTCTGTGCCCTTCCAATATTGCATACAAATGATGGAATTTGCTGCACCCCAACATAATTGTGAAGGGTGTTCCTTCCTAGCCAGCAGAACATGACATTGGAAGGACAACAAAAGGAGCACTCACTTAAAAGTTACAGCTCCTATTTAGCCTGTAAAGTCTTATAAACAGGGGAAGACTAAATAGAATTTCTAATTTATATGTATATATGAAAATAGATATTTTAGCAATTTACTCTGTGTCACTTCTCAGGCCAGTTCGAACAGAATGCATTTAGGGATGCACAAAGAAATTATATTTCCATTTAAGTATAAAAACATGAAACTTTCATTTCAGTCTTTGGTTTTATTTTTAGTCTAATATTTATATTCCTTCACAAAGGTAATGTATCAGCAAAAGCTGTCCTGGCCCTACAAAATACAAAAATTGTCTCTAGTAATTTGCAGAGGTGTCTGAGCCCAGCATTCTTCACTGCACAGTTTGCTGAATGTAACGTGGTGCTGCTCTTCCCAGAGGATCATAAATAATGTTTTCACTGGAAGTTTAGGAGG